CTGAGGAAGTTTTCTGAAGGATGCCACATGAGTAGTACCAGTCTGCTAAGGCGAACCGAGTGGTTTTTGTGAGACATTGTGAGTGGTAACGAGAGTTCACAGGATTCCCCGAAGAGAAACGGCACTTGCGCAGCCAAAAGCAGATGCGCATGAGAAATTCACTCTCTAACTGGTTGAACTTCCAAATGATTTCGTTGATTAGACTAGTCTGCGCCACCCTAGAACTTCCTCAACATGGATGACACTTTTATGCTTGATTTCATTCAGGAACACTCAGTTTCATCCCACGGCAATGCGAAGATAGCATGTAGCGATGGGGCTACGCCGAAAGATTCTCAATCAAAATGCGACCGTACCTAGTTTATTCACCAAACTTAACCGCCTCTAACTGCCACCTACCTTGGTCCCTGCTGCATCCACTGAAAAGTAAAGATTGAACGACGTCTTCTTGTAGGCAGACAGTTGGACTAGTCACTGGTAACGATTACCTTGTAGGCTGGGATCGTTTACGAGGGATGAAAAGGGACAAAAAACAAGAGACTATCAAACAAAGAAGAGACTTGAAGGTGTTAGCGGTAGGTGCGGCCGGCGCGGAGTGGGTGGCTTTCGTGTCATTATCGATACCCATTGGCCAATATCGCAGATCATTCACATGTTCATCTACAGAATACAAACGGTCTATATTAAGGTCTAAATACCCAGAATCGCTGTGCCATCACAAACAGATAGTATTGAATTTATAGGTGTATTAACCGTAGGAAGTGGAAACTTGCACTTCATAATCGACCACAATGCAAAACCGTGCACCGAAGCTGTGTAGATCGTACAGGAAAAGTCGATTCCTACACCCATTATTGTGCGCATGGTAGACTCGTGCACCAGGATGGCAGAAATCATGGCATATACTAAAGTCGTGCCCACATATCTGTGCACACCTTGGAATCGTCATTCCTGTTGAGAAAGACGCTAATACTTGCCGTCCATGGATCCTGAATCTGACTGCTTGCTTAAAACACAAGCTATTTTATAGTTATTTATTTTCAACATAATATAATTTTGCAAATCGATATATAACAATGTTGAGTCACAGGAGACGGCATCACGTGATTGAAGATGATGAGGAGGAGTAGGAAGAGGAACCGGGAAACGGGCAAGGAGAAGGAGAATGAGGAGGAGATGATATTTGAAGCAAACGAGAAAATCTTTCCTGAGACGATATGCCGCGCATCCGTGTACGTGGTATATATGTGTATCATAAATTATTATATGATACACATATACAATCTATTTATAGATAAAAATCTGATTAAAAACACTTCTGCAGAAGAGAGACACCGAAATCTTGTCAAGTTATATAAGACCCGTAATAAGAACTGATGGTGACATCGGTATATAGACAATGAAACACCTAAACAACGATATTTGAAATTGGCGGGAGATCGATCAGGGACGGTTATCGATCGAATCGCTTCTTGTCGCGTCACTCGAAGTATAGCCGCATACGGAATCCATTTCGTGACGCGACTTGACAAAGCAAAACGATCACATATACAGATTGCGGAACAAGATAGGTATATATGTCTGTGTGAGAAAATCACGCCATACGAGGGCTGTTTTCAGATCAATAAGGGTGACGCTCGCCATGGGGCAGGATTTCGCAATAGAGCGTGATATTCTCGCAAAGACCGTGTGCTCTGTATTTATACATATGGTATATATACGATGTTAATACAAACGATATGGAAGGCCAAACATGTTCAAGGAAAGATACCATGGAGGGGCAGTACAAACCCTTTTGTCGTCAAGCGCGATGATCACTGAACGAGTTTTTGTATGTTGATGTGTGACGATCGACAGTTAGAGTCCGGTGAAACCCGGTAATGGCACTACGATGATTGTTAGATGTGATAAAGAGGATAATCTCTGGCGTGAAGGTTCTCGACATGATAAGACTGTAGACGTGGCGAGGAATAAAATGGAGTGTGGCACATTATGTTGGGCAAGGAACGCTGAGAAGTGAGCAGGTCCTAAAAAGAAAGTTATGATTTAAATCACATACAGTTTCGTTGGTGGGGGTGTGACGAAAACAATCGTAACATGTCGCGCAGGTGAGCGGAGCA